AGCCAAGGATGATTTTGTGGACTTTGGGATCCCCCCCCCAAGGTCCCTCCCCTGCCTGGGAAGTGGAGGGTGGGTGGGGTGAGGAGGGAGAAGGGGGAGGGGGAGGGGAGGGAGAGGATGAAGGGATTGACATGTGAAGCAAGCTTGTTCCAAATTTGAACTAATAAAAAAATTAAAAAAAAAGAAAATAGAAAGTGGGTAGGTATCTATTCTAAATCTTGATTACAATGCTGTGCTAGCTGGTCAAAGCTGCAGCTCTTCTAAGATACCCAGAAATCACCCCCAACATACTCAGTAGTGCTCAGGCTCCAGACACCAAGGCCACTCAGCAACCAGAACATTTGCTTCCCCAGCTGCTTAGATAAAAAAGCCACAAGGAGCAGCCATCCAGGAGACAACCCTCCAAAGTGACAGTGATGATGAACAATATACTTAGGAGAGGACATATCCAAAGGTCTACAGTAACACTTAACAATCAATATTTATATTTCAAGCCAAACCTTCTGACCTAGAAAAGAACCATTTATGGTTTCATATCTGAAAACTGAAGCAAAATAGTAATTATAAAAATATTAGTAAAATGTAAAAAGTGTACCTTACCACCATCTTTGAGCAGCCCACACCCTACAGGTACAGATAATACCCTCTATCACCTGCTGCAGCAGCAGCACCCCACATGGAACCCCAGCATTTCCAAACTCCCCATGGAGCACCAAGTCCTACCTGGGAAGAGGATGGGCAGGCTGACAGGAGATTTGTTGGTGTCGATAGTGAGTTTCTGGCTTGCAGTTTTTGAAGGCTGACCTGGTAGGCAAATTAGTTTCAGAGGAAGTCTAAATTTACATTGGATAACCCGAGGAATTCCTGAAATTACAGAAAAATAAATTTAAAATGCAGATCTGAGTTTGACAGACATCTGGGAAGAAATAATGTGTATTCTGAGCAGGAGAACTAGTAAATTTGTTGTCTGCTTTTTTGTTTAGCTCAAGTCAAGGAACTGGTAGGCACTACCAGGACTCAGATTTGTTTGTTTGTTTGTTTTAGTGTGAAAGAGATGGGGGAGAGGAGTGAGAGGATAAAATGCAAGTAAATGAACAGAAATAAAAAATATTATACTAAGTGAGGTAACCCAAAAACATAAACACTGCATGTTTTCTCTTATTTGTGGACACTAGCTCTGAATCTTTCAATGTGAGTATACAAGCTGAGGTGACTACTGATACAAAGAAAGGGGCAGAAAGCCATGGAGTCATAGAGTATGGAGGGCAAAGGGCAACACTATGACACAGCTGCTATAAACAGAGAAATGGGGAAAACAGATGAGGTGAGAAGCAACATAGAGAAAGGAAGGAAGAGGGGTAAATAACACTAAGGATGCTTGAAGGAGCCAGAGAAAATCGTATTTTATGTTCAACTAAACTTACACATAATATATACAGTTGTATTTGCATGCATGCATACATACATACATACATACACACATACACACACGCACGCACGCATACATACATACATACATACATACATACATGCATGCACGCACGCACGCACGCACGCACGCACGCACGCACACATACATACATACATACATACATACTTTTAACTAAAGTTACACAGTTATGGTAACAATACCCTCACATAAAAACATAGGCTCTCTATCAAAAATCCAAGTACCTGGCATGGGAAGCATTCTTTCAGTTTGTTGGTCAGGGTACCCAAGAACCCTCCAAACAGTCTATTCCCATTGTCCTTGGTTGTCTCCCAGATAAAGGACTTGGAGGAATCAAGCTGGAACTGACCTAGAAGCCTCCTACCTGCGGACTAGGTGTTAAGTATGGGAAGAAGTAATGTAAGCCACCAAGAGAAAAAAGCAATCAAGAGTCCTACTGAGCCATCCTTGCATTCCTGGGATGAAGCCTACTTGATCGTGGTGGATGATTTCTCTGATGTGTTCTTGGATTCGATTTGTCAGTATTTTATTGAGTATTTTTGCATCAATGTTCATGAGGGATACTGGTCTGCAGTTCTCTTTCTTAGTTGTGTCTTTGTGTGGCTTGGGTACCAAGGTAATTGAAGCCTCATAAAAAGAGTTTGGTAATGACCCTTCTGCTTCTATTGTGTGGAATACTTTGAGGAGAATTGGTATTACCTATTCCTTAAATTTCTGGTAGAATTCTGCACTGAAGCCACCTGGCCCTGGGCTTTTTTTTTTGGTTGGGAGACTTTTGATGACTGCTTCTATTACATTAGGGGTTATAGGTCTATTCAAGTTGCTTATCTGTTCTTGATTTAATTCTGGTAAGTGAAATCTATCCAGAAAATTGTCCATTTCCTTTAGGTTTTCGAATTTTGAGGAATATAGGTTTTCGAAGTATGACCTGATGATTAATCAAGAAAGGAGATACCATAATAGAGGGAGATATTTTAGGTTTATAGAGAAATCAGGCACTAGGGAAATGTCTGGAGACCTACAAAGATGACACCAACTAACAATCTAAGCAATAGAGGAGAGGCTCCCTTAAATGCCCCCCCCCCGATAATGAGATTGATGACTGACTTATATGCTATCCTATAGCCTTCATCCATCAGCTAGTGGAAGTAGAAGCCGACACCCACAACTATTCACTGAACTGAACTGGAATCCAGTTGCAGAGAAGGACCGAGTGATGAGCAAAGGGGCCCGGACCAGGCTGGTGAAATCCACAGAAACAGCTGACCTGAACAACGGAGAGCTTGTGGTCCCCAGACTGATAGCTGGGAAACCAGCATGGGACTGATCTAGCCCCCAGGAACATGGGTTTCAGAGAGGAGAACTCAGAAATCTATGGGACCTCCTGTAGTAGTTCAGTACTTATCCCTAGCATAGGTGTGGACTTTGGGAGCCCATTCCACATAGAGGGATACTCCCTGAGCCAAGAAACACAGGGGTGGGCATAGGCCACAACCCAAAGGATATGATAGACTCTGATGACCCCCTATGGAATGCCTCACCCTCCCTGGGGAGCAGAAAGGATACGTGATAGGTACGGTTTTAGTTGAGGGGGTGTGTTAAGGGAGGAGGGGAGGGAGAGGGAACTGGGATTGACATTAAAAAAATCTTATTTCTAATTCAAATATAAAAAAAAGAGTCCTACTGAGGTGTCATGCCTATAAAAGACAAAACAACCAGAATAGAAAGATATTCTAAAAGGTGCAACAGTGACACTTATGTCCTGGGAGCAACCAACAGCCATCTAATTGGACTTAAGGCCTGCTCATCTAAAAAGAATTCATATCTGGTACTGTGTGAACTTCACCAACCTTCTGTGCCTGCTAAGGCCACAAAATCCAGAGAATCTACTGCTGCCATTTTTCTAAACCAGTATAATTTCTAACTGCATTCTAAGGCAAGGGTAGTTCTTACCCCTCTCAAGGAAGCTTCCTTTTGCAGCAGTTAGAGATCATTACAGGAAGTCACAACTTGTGAAAATGCAAAAAAACAATTGAACATAGGGTACCTGTCCCCAGTTAAAACATCAACAATACAATGCCTACACCTAAGGCTTAGGGAACCCTACAGAAGAGGAAATGGGAAGACTGTGAGGGCCAAAGGACCAGGATGTCTGCTGTGAGATAGTCTTCTTTAAAAAGCTAAACTTTGGGGAGCTGGAGGTTTTAAAAAGAGGACATCTTTAAACAGAAGGGGTTGGAGAGGAAGAAGTGGATCTGGGGGAGTTAGGAGGAAGGGTGGGAGTGAATATAATCAAAATATATTGAATGAAATTCTTAAAGATTTCATAAAATATTTTTAAAGAGTTAAAAGAAGCATTAGCATGAGGCCTATCATTAAGCAGCATATTTTTAAAAACCAGCCCATCCAGACACCATAAAAATCATTCAATTACTGAGACAATTCTTTAAGATTTTCAAAGCCCAAGCTTAGCCTACAGCTATCAGTTAAAATGAAAAAAGAACACTCAGTCTCCCTGAAACTCTAAATTATCTTATCTCAAAATGCTCTACCCAAGACATTCTAAATCCTCAGCTATTTTTACATATTGAAGATTCAAACTATATTAGCTATTTTCAATAAATTATAACCGTGAAAGTACAATGTACATGGGACTTCTCTGAAGTTCATGGCAATTTGAGCATTGAAAATGTAAGTTAGGAGAATTGGATTTTATCACAATTTCACATTATAATTTTTATAATTCAAGCCTAGTCATTTAATCCTAAATGATGTCAATATTCATCCAGACATAATTAAGAAAGTAACTGAATAAATAACAAAGTTGAATAATTTAATTCTCAAAATTACTTTAAATCGCATTTCATTCTTTGTTCTTTTATAAACCTAAATTTATAAGGTTATTTATAAATCTAAAATCAGCACTTTAACCTTAAACTTGCTATCTTTTCATCCTAGGATTCTGTATGGACAAGACAACGTGGAAGATGGGGGACAAAACATAGAAATCTGTATCTTACTGAAGTCCTGTATAGAAACTGAAAGCTCAAAATGTCTACCCTACTTGGTGGGTTTGCACACTAATCTCTTCATTTCTCTGTAGTGGAGTCAGTGAGAGCTTTAAAAAAGTAAGAGCAGAAGCAGTTAAAATATGGTTACATGGACCAAGCAAGAGCTTTGAAATTACAATCTATCTTGCTTGGGTAGCTTAATCCCCATTGAGTATGGAGGTGATTTTCCGTCTTCTTACTTCCTAGGACAGTGAGAGAGACAGCATCAGCAAAGCTGAGCCTAATTAAATTAAATTAAATTAAATGCTTCTACAGTTCATGTGGGGTCGTTCTCAGCACACTCTATTACCCATCAATTCTTACCCAGCTCAGAATTTGTTCCTAACCAACAGATGTGAAATTCACTTCTGCACATCCAGAATCTAACTGGTGTTTGTTCAGGACAGTCCCCAGGTAGCACTTCCTGGTATTCTGTGAGGGTTTTAGGGGCATATGTGTTTGTACTTTATAATGGCAAAATGTAACACACTCAAAGATACTTTCCAAACCACAGCTAGCAATTCTACCACACACATAAAAAAATTACAAAGTGTTCCTTTGCCAACTATAAGGAAATTCCCATATATTACATACATCTCCAAATTATGAAAAGAAGTCTTAAAAATGTCTCTATTATAATAATTAAGTTACAACCCCAGTTAATAGATAGAGTGGAATGAACAAAACTTGCTTCTATCTCTTTAATTTTAAATGAATAATACAACAAAAATATTTTAATTTCTGACTACTGTATACACAAAGAATACAATCTTATATATATACTTTCAACTAAATTCTAAGCTAACTGTTCAAACCAAATAGATGTAACTTTGCTTCAAGAAAAACAAAAGAAAAGTTAAAATAAAGACTTTCTCAATGTTGCTCTTGGAACAGTTTTGAACCTGGTTGGAAAAGACTAATTGGTCCTAACTCCTTGTACCATCAGTACTTATATATACGTTCAACTAAATCCTAAGCTATCTGTTCAAACAAACTTTCTTCAAAACCTGTATCATGGCCTCTACACCATTTGCACCAGGTACATGGACTCGAGATTTACAAATTAGGAATGATCAACCACACTGGCTTTATTTTAAATTAAGAACCTGGTGAGAAATGTGGGGGTTCAGAAGTGGAAAAGGGCTGAAGAGATGGCTCAATGCACACATTTATAATAAAGAAAAGAGGGGGGCTGGAGAAATGGATCAGAGGTTAAGAGCTTTAACTGCTCTTCCAGAGATCTTGAGTTCAAATCCCAGCAGCTACATGGTGGCTCACAGCCATCTAAAATGAGATCCGATGCCCTCTTTTGGTGTGCAAGAAAACATGCAGATAGAACACTGTATACATAATAAATAAATCAGTCTTTTTTAAAAAAGAAGAAAAGGGGGGCTGGGAAAATGGTTAAGAGAACTTGCTGCTCTTCCAGAGGACTCATGTTTGACTTGCAGCACTCACATGGTATATCCGTCTGTAACTGCAGTTCACGGGAATGTGATACCTTCTTCTGGCCCCCTTGAGCCCCAGGAACAGGCATGGTGTACATACATACATGCAGGCAAACCATCCATGCACATAAAATAAAAGAATTTTTCAAGGAAAGAATTATGTATATTAATAGACTTTTCAAGCCTTGTGTGGCAGCACATACTATAATCCCAGATCTTGGAACATAGGGGTAATAGGATAAGAAGTTCAAGGTCATCCTCAGCTATATATCAACCTTGAGACCAGCCAGGGCTACATGAAATCGTGTTTCAAGAATAAAAGAAAAATTAAAATAAAGACCTTTTTGATGTTACTCTTGGAACAGTTTGGGATCTGGTTGAAAAGGCTAATTGGTCCTAACTCTAGGCTGTTGGCAAAAACTGTCTGCCTAGCTGGCTAATTCAACTCTGGAACCTAAGCTGAGAAAAAAAGAAATGTTCATCATTCATTTGATTCCAGTATCAATCTAGTCATTCATCAGTCTGACTTTGCTATATAGGATTTTGAATTTTTAAACAAATATAATCACCTCTCTTTCATATGCTTCCCTGCCCATAATCCACTAGAGGAAATGGATAGTAACAACTACTACAATGCAATTAATCAAAAAACCATTTATCAATCAGAGAGAAATTTACATTAAAACCACTCCTGAATGAGTAATTTTCCAATACTAAAAAACTACACCTGGCACACACACAAGCCCAGGATCATTTTCAAACAGGAAGACAAAAAGCTGTTGAAAAATAAAATAGACAGTGTGTGTGTGTGTGTGTGTGTGTGTGTGTGTGTGTACATATGTGAATAAGACAGGCATATCTATACACTACACTTCTACAGAAGACCCGTGAACTCTTTCTGAGACTGCTGGAGCCATTTTTTCCTGCAAACAGGAAGTGGGGAAGCAGCAGTCATGTCTGGTAGCCAGGACTTGCAGACCCCCTAATGTAGTGACTGATAACATACTGTACTTGGTCTACAGTCATGTTTTACACTGTCCATGGCATGTAATTTTAATGCAGAATAATGGAGGCTAACTCCTATGGGACTACCTAAAACCACATGCCCTTTTTCTGACATGTGAGAGCAGAACTACTTTTCTGCAATACAGCCTAAACAGATCAAGACATGGAAATGGATCCACCTGAGAAATATAAAGATACTGTTGAATATTTCAGCACTGCTGCCTTGCATTTAATAATAATTTAAACCACACCAAAAGAAATATTAAATTCACCATCACCAGCTATCAGTCTGGGATCCATGAGCTCCACCCTTGTTCAGGTCCGCTGTTTCTGTGGGTTTCTCCAGCCTGGTTTTGACCCCTTTGCTCATCACTCCTCCTTCTCTGCAACTGGATTCCAAGAGTTCAGCTCAGTGTTTAACTGTGGATGTCTGCTTCTGCTTCCATTAACTACTGGATGAAGGCTCAAGCATAGGGCCGACCCAGACCCCTGAACGTGGGTGTCAGTTAGAAGGACTGGGCAGTCTATGGGGCCTCTGGTAGTGGACAAGTATTTATCCTTAGTGTACAAATGGACTTTTGGATCCCATTCCACATAGAAGGATACACTCTCAGCCTAGACACATGGCAGAGGGTCTAGGCCCTGCTCCAAAAGATGTGACAGACTTTGAAGATTCCCCATGGAAGGCCTCACCCTCCCTGCGGAGCAGAAAGAAACTGGTGGCATCATCAAAACAGTATGAGTATGCTGGGTGTAGTGGTGCACAGCTTTAATCCCAGCACCTGGGAGGCAGAGGCAGAGGCAGGTGGATCTCTGTGAGTTCGAGGCCAGCCTAGTCTATATAGTAAGTTCCAGGACAGCCAGAACTATCTCAAGAGACCCTGTCTCAAAAAAGAAAAGGAAAAAGGAAAAGAAAAAAGGAAAGAAAAACACAGTGTAAGTAAATACTGGTGTTTTAACAGTGGTTTGACCATATCTAATTACTACTTGGAGGATATTATTATCTAAAACTTGTCTTAAGGTATCTTTAGTAAAGATAATCTACTGTTTTATATCTATGTATTTTAGGGGAAAAGTATTTTTTCCCAATTTTTTTTTATTTGAATTAGAAACAAGATTGTTTTACATGACAATCCCAGTTCCCTTCTCCCTCCTTTCTGCCCCTACCACCACCACCCCAACTAAAACCCTACCTATCACATATCCTTTCTGCTCCCCAGGGAGGGTGAGGCTTTCCATAGAGTGTCATCAGAGTCTATCATATCCTTTGGGATAGGGCCTAGGCCCATTCCCATATGTCTAGGCTCAAGGAGTATTCCTCTATGTGGAATGGGCTCCCAAAGTCCACACCTATGCTAGGGATAAATACTGAACTACTACAGCAGTTCTGTAGATTTCTGAGGTTTCCTCACTGAAACCCATGTTCCTGGGGTCTGGATCCGTCCCATGCTGGTATCCCAGCTATCAGTCTGGGAAGTAAGAGTTCCCCAATGTTCAGGTCAGCTGTTTCTGTGGGTTTCACCAGCCTGGTCTGGACCCCTTTGCTCTTCACTCGTCCTTCTCTGCAACTGGATTCCAGTTCAGTTCAGTGATTAGTTGTGGGTATCTGCTTCCACTTCCACCAGCTGCTGGATGAGGGCTATCGGGTGGCATATAAGTCAGTCATCAATCTCATTATCAGAGGAGGGCATTTAAGGTAGCCTCTCCTCTGTTGCTTAGATTATTAGTTGGTGTCATCTTTGTAGATCTCCAGACATTTCCCTAGTGCCTGATTTCTCTGTAAACCTAAAATGTCTCCCTGTATTATGGTATCTCCCTTCTTGTTATCTTCTATTCTGCTCCCTCATGTCCTCTGCATCCCTCCTCTTCTAGGGGAAAAATAAATTAAGAGATACTTAAATGACTATGGTGTACCCTGATCCTCTGCAATTCATCGATGAGTCATTTATTTCTACCCTTGAAGACCTCACATCTACTGGAAAACCTAAGAAACAAACGTAAACTTAGCACAGCTTGAACATGTGTGTACTATGGCAAAATGACTAACAACACTGACTAGGGTAAGTTCAGGTTGGCCAGCCCAATCTTCCAGAAATTCTGAATGAGACAAGAGATAGTTGTATAGTAGTACACATGATATTCTTATCAGACACAAGTAGATCTATTTGAGCATGTAGAAGAACATTTAAAATTAAGTGACATGTATATTTTTAATTTTCTATACTTTAATGTGGGTAAAATAATCTAATAATGAACATGTGTTAATGGCTTTCAGCAAAAATTTGCCAATGACATTTTTGGCGTTTCTCAACAAAGGCATTCTGGGGCTGGAGAGATGGCTCAAATAGGAGTACAGCTGTTCTTCCTAAGGACTCAAGTTCCCAATACCAGGCAGTTCCCATCCAACTATAATTCCAGCTGCAAGGGATACAACCACTCTTCCAGACTCAAGGGTACCTGTGCTCACACATGCACATACACCCACCAACTGGTCATGCATACATGTACAATTAAAAACAAAATAAATCTTTTTAAGTCATCTGTTCTTATCTTTCACCTTATCTGTAATGATAACCCTCTTGAAACAGGCACACTGCCCTTCATAGCAAGACTAAGGCAACATATACCCTAAAGAAGTCTGTTACAACATACACTAATGTAAAGGGTTGATTCATGGAGTAATGCCCATTGAGTTTAACAACAAATTTTAGACTGAAAATTCATTTTCCCCTGTATCTTTTAACTTACCATCAGGATTTCGATCTATCCATTAGAAGCAATGCAAAGGACGTGGAAGAGAAAGAATGCAAACTAATTATTTGTGGTAAAGCTACAATAAAAATTTGATACACATCTGTTTAAAATACAGTTTAAACTTACAAGAACAGTACACACACCCCTGAGAAAACAGAAGCCTTATTTGAAGAGCAAACCCTAAGTAAATGAAACTCAGCAATATGTTTGTGCCTCTGGTCTCAAAAGTCCATGAGAATGTTACTCCAGTATAAATGTGGTTTAAAAAAAAAAAAAAAAAAGAACAACTCAGTATTCAAGTGACATGAAGAATATTAAGTCAAAAGGCTGAGTGAAAAAGCAAAAGCAAAATGTTAATATTTCCAGCTAGTCCTTCTTGAGAAAATTGTTACTACTCTGGAATAATGTTCACTTGGGTTTTGAGGCTTATCTTTTTGTTCTTACTTTAACACACTTGTTATATTAATTTATAACTAACTGTGAACCAAATAGTGTCTAGACCTCTGCTTTACCAATAATATATGATATTCTAAATTCCATCTATAAGAAAGTAAATATGGCCAAAACGGTAACTGCAACTACAGGCCATGGGGCCAATGGCTGACTTCATAGTGTTCAAATGCACTTTCAGTGTGCTGCCCACCAGGCATTTGCCGTTCCCTATTTTTTCAACCAGTATCACTACTTTTCCTTGAATATTAATGAAAGAATTATATAAATTAAGGTGAGCCATCTCTATAGACAGCTGTGCAATATTGTAACTGCTGACTCAGATGTTAAGTAAATGATAAAGGATCTAGAGCTAGCAGCCAAATATGTCTCCTTTCTGTGTCTCAGAACTCAAAGTAAAAATAACATTCAAAACCTCAATAGTCTTTTGGGAAATGACCGAAAGGTCCACCATTCTTTAACCCTTTATCAAGTTTTCACTTCTCGTGCAATCAAGTCTTTATAAACATAAAAGTGATTATACAGCCCAAAGTCTGAGAATTTGAGAAACAGATGAAGTGATCACTGCTGGGTAAAAATAAATATCAAGACTGCTTAAATCAAATTACTCCACAAGGCAAATAAAACTAGGTTTTTAAAAAAATACAACTAAGCTACAAAATTATGCCAGAGCACCAACATCTTCCAATAAATAAACAGGAAGATTCACTGGGGATACACTCATGAGGGAAGCCAAAGCAGCTAAGCTGAGCATAAAAACATGGAGACTTTGGTTCTTTTGAAACTATAAGGCTTTTTAACTGGAAAGATAAGCCTTAAAATTGTCCAGAAATGTTCTTGAAACACAAATATAAAAATGCTACAATATCTGAGTACCAACCAGATCCACTATATTGAAATATCTTTTAAAGTATGACCCGCTGATTTTTATTTTCTAACAACCAACTGACATCAAACTGTGAAATAATACCCACACAGGAAAGGAAAAGATAATCATACCAAAATCAACTAAGTTCAAGTTTATAGCAGGATAATCACTCCTAGACAGAGAGAACCTAATCATGCCTATTAAGAACAATCTAATGATTTCTGATATCTTGTATGCTAATTTTAAAAATAAAAATTTTAAATCTGAACAAAAGAACAAACTGACTTGAACTCCAGATGAAAATATAACAGATGTGTTTTTAATTACTCAAATGTGGGAGGTAAAGAGTATTATTTAGTAATGAAAAAACTATCTAAAATTGAATAATGGCTTAATTGTTATGTTAACCTACATCTTTTCAGTAATTAATAACAGCCTTTTGTAGTTTAAATAAATGAAATATGATCCAGTGCTAATAAAAATACATCATATTTGCTACTAAGTGAAAGAGAGAACCATACACCCAGAAATCATATGAACACACTTGTCATTAACAGAATGCAAGAAAGTAATTGGAATAATAATTAGGAGTAGAAAAGAAAATTCTTTGACTGTATGCTTTTCTATCTTAAATGCTTAAGTCATTTAACTTAAATTTGGTCTATAAAGTTGCAAATCACTGTATATTTTACCTGTTGGTCTGGAATAAGAAACAACTGCATTTCCTTCTAATTCAGATGGTATGTAATTTTTCTTCAGGTAAACAGAAAATGCTGCTACGCTGGTCATATCTGGTACTATAGGGAATATGAAAGTTATGCATAAGTTATATGATGGCAGCAATTGTTAACAATTGCTAAACTCTTATAGCACTTACTACATACGAAGTACTTCAATAAGCACTCTAAACAGCCACTCATACAATCTTCACAGAGACACTGTAAGGTAGGTGCCATTATCATTCCTTTTTTAACTATGAGGTGACCAGAATACAGAGGTAAGGATCAAAGTTTTACACCATTACCATGAACCAGGAACTGACTCCACACAAGGTGCCTCTCACTCCACAGCCCTGCATCTCTTTGCCTGGGTCAACAGGCAGAGAAAATGGGGGGAACAATAGGGGCCATTTGTGACATGATTACTATTTTATATATTATTAGATACTTCATATGATTTTATTTTCTAATTAAATCTTCAAAGCAATCCTGTCATATAGAGAGTTATTACTCTCTGTTTACCACTTAAAATAACAGGCTCTAAGTAGTCACTAAAATAGTTTGCCAGAATCTTGCATCAAGTAGTGTAGGAGTTAGAATTCAAATATAGGCCAAATCCCAAGCCAGCACTCTGTCTTTAAATGTTACTGATTCACTACAGAGGTCACTAGGAAAATGCCATTAAAAAAGGACTTCCAGGGCTGAGGACATAGCTCAGTTGATAGAGTTCTTACCTTGTATGCATGAAGCTTCAATCCCCAGCAACACACAGAGAGACAGAGACAGAAGAAAGTCTTCCAAATTATAGTATTTTAATACAATTTACAGATACAGCTAGTTAAGCAATATAACTAGAAATTCATAATCTAAAAATTATTCATCAATTATCCATGCATGATACATGCCACCATTTGTTTCCCCAGAAGCTCTCAGAGCTGCTATTTAGAAAAGAAATACAGACCTGAACTAAGCACACTGAAAAAAAAAAAAAAAAAAAAAAAAAAAAAAAAACAAAAAAAAAAAAAAAAAAAAAAAAAAAAAAACAACCCAACTCACAGCACAGTAAACATCCAGACAAAACAAGGAGCTTACCTGCAAAGTCAAAGGTGAACTGATCACAAGTAAGTACTAATGGAGGCTGCACATAGACTGACAATTTGACTTTTTGCAACACCACTCGATTCTGCAGGGTAATCTAAGGACACACAAATTGTCAGTAATATAAAATTCCACTTTATCCAAATTGACAAACTACTACAACTAACTAAAAAGTTATTAACAAATAATAAGGAAACCTGGAAAGTGAGTAGCTGTGTAATAGTTCACAGCAAAAAAAAAAAAAAATCATAATAGCTAAAGAGTATAAATAAGCTAAATGTCCATCTCAATGGGCAATCAAAGTGTGGTCTATACTACAAAATAACATTCAGCAAAAATAACTGAAACCAACACATGAACTATGAAAAATATTAAGTTTAAAAAAAAACTAATCAAGCCGGGCATTGGTGGCGCATGCCTTTGATCTCAGTACTCGGGAGGCAGAGGCAGGCAGATCTCTGTGAGTTCAAGGCCACTCTGGTCTCCAGAGCGAGTGCCAGGATAGGCTCCAAAGCTACAAAAAAAAAAACCACTGATCATAAAGAATAGCATTCAGTGTAATTCTATTGACACAAAATGTATATCTCTTCTCTCTGTGCAAGGCCCAGGAGCCACTTCAGAAGACAGAGAAGAAAAGAAATATTTTTAAGAGCCAGAGATTGAGAAGACAGGAGCAAAACAGTGTCTTTGGACATGGTGGGACCACTGCGCCCATGAACTTGAAGAAGCTGTGGTTACCTGCATAGGACCTGAATAAGATCACGCCAGTCAACACTCCAACATGGAGAGGAAAGGAGCTCACAAGGCTCCACCCTTAGCTGAGGAGAAATTGACAGCTGATGAGTCCTGAGGTGTGGAGAAACAGTTTCCTTTAGGGATGTAGTTTGACCATGCTCCAGAGAGTAGCCCCATGTCCATGAGTATATGGACAGTACAAACTAAACTTGGTGACCTATAAAAAACAAAGACTACAGAGGTTGTGGGTGGGCATGGATCAGGGAGGAAAGGAGGTAAATATGATCCACCTACACTGTATAAAATCCTCCATGAATGAATGAAAATATTACATTAAAAACTTCTCTGTTACATAGAGAAACCCTAACTCCAAAAAAAACCAAAAATCTTTATTTAAATTTTCAATAAAATAAATAAAACAGGAAACTTCTATAACAAACTATAGAAATAGGAAGTAGCTTCAAAATAAAAAAGATAAAGAGGGACAATTAATGGCTATTGTCATTTCTCTTAAGGGGTACAAAAGGTTCTAAAATTAGATGGGTTTATGACTGGCCAAATCTGCAAGGATGTGACATATCACTGTAAGCTGTATAATTATATATAGTGATGTCTCAGAGTATCAAAGAGAGAAAATGGCTGTTCTCATCTTTAATGAAAAACTGCATAGTGGCACAAACATGCCATTAATCCCTCTGCTCCTGAGGGATTAAGATTCCAAACAGCTGATATTATTTGGTGATGCTAAGAAATCCTACCCATGTAAAACCAAAATCTAAGATCTGTAAGATAATAACCCAGAAGACAGTATGGGTATGGATACAAGAAGCCAGGATGTCTCTCTCCTGAGGAGGGGTATTGGTAGCAACATCAGACCTAAGCATCTTCACTAGGGTACAGTGCCACATGTCAGTGAGGGTATCAGAGAAAGAAACACCTGCTTTGTATTAGGTATCTTCTCTCATTGGTTTTGATTTCCTACAGGTTTCAATCTCTTGGAATTGTTTTGTAAGATGACTTCATCTAACTATTATTAGATAGCCAATTACCAATCTAGGTAAGGTCACTCAGAATATCTGGAGGCAGACTCAAGTGCTGAGATTTTTATACCCTCTAGGGGATCCTTATATACAACTTGGAATCAGTGGTTGGTTGAAAACAATTCTTCCTTGTGTTTCTTTTGCTACAGAACAGTTCAATCTAGTTACTAGATCCTGTCACATGAGGCAGACACCTATCATTGTTAACTGACTTAATGCAATGATGTCTATTATGAAGAAACCTAGTTTTTATCTGTCTCTTAAGTGAAAGGCATGCATCATTGTTCCTCAATTACACACATATATTAATATAAAATATACAAAAATATATAAGTGACCTACAAATATAATGAACATACAATTAAAGTCAACAAATGTTACACATTGGTTTTAAGTGAGGCATTCTAAACAACCTTGGAATAATCCAAACAAAAATGTTTTGACATGTAAATTAATGTTTTGAAGAGAAAATTATTGATGCAAATACATATGGTAAACAAAGCAAATAAACAATGTATTCTTAGATTTTTACTGTAAAAACCCTGAAACAGGCACACCAGAAACAAAACTTCCTCAGTGATGTCTGGCCATTAGGACAAAACCCTCAAGGTAACTGCAGCAAAAAGAAGCTGTGCAAGTGGTACACACAGGCTTCTTTCAGATGACTAGCTGGACCAGTAAATTAATATGACACAATTAAGCCTTATTCTATTAACAATAACACAATGTTCTCTGTATACATATAGACATAGTGGCTTTCTACACTCGTGAAGTATGCTCATGAGTGATGCGTGTGTCTTATCTCATATAATCTTCACACTTGTGTGAAATAAGGACTATCACACAGCATCCTACAATACAGAAAACCATGGCACAGAGAGCTGAGTGGTTCTTCCTGAAGCACTAATTAAAAGGGAGAGAAATGTAACTGAACTGCTCTCTCTCTGCCAAAACCCCGGGCCCAGGCCTTTATGCAACACTATTTAAATCATAAATAATGTGATAAATAAAAAGGAGGTTCCCGCTTTACACTTTAGAACCGCAGACCAGAGAAAGTAAACAACATGCATAACCCCACCAAGGCAGTGGGTACTAGAGGGCTGAAAACCGCCCTCAGGAGCATCATGCAAGCATGAGAGTGACAACTCCCTGTTGTAATAACAAACTGTTTGGAAAGGAGCAGACATCCTGACTCTGCGGGCACAATGATGGCGGCTTAGACAGTAATCATACAATCTCCCATTGTTACAAGGGGTGTGCATCTGGGTTAGATGAACAGCCATGAGAGCTCCCATGTCAGATTTATTGAATCCAACAATGGCCTAGGACTTTCAAAGCACAAGTCAAAGAGATATGACAAAAATAACTACAGTAACAAAGAATAGTTGTTTTTGAGCCAAAAAGTGAATTAAAGACTTGGCTAAATCATAAACCTCACATTTTAAAAGGAAAATAATTGTAGAATATTAAGGAGAAAATATAAAAATGTTAATACAAGAACTTTCCATGCAGTTTCTCATTCTAAAGAAATAAAACATAATCCTTAGGAAATATAATACCAAATGTTTACCCTAGGTATATAAATAGGACTGCCAGGCCAGGTAGGAACAAGCACTCTGCCTGTTGCCTGGAACAGATGGTCACGCATCATGCACACATACTCAAGGTAGCCACATCTTCATTCATTTGGAACGGATGGAAAAATTTTCTCAATTAACTGGATTTATTATGATGGAAACTTTACTGGTTATATATCTTGGCTGCTGCTATTATAAAAGGCCATAAGGAGAGATTTACCGCAGAAATTTGTATAGAGACTATCAGACAGGATCAGAAAATCTTCCTGTCTGCTATGTAAGTCCTGACCATGCTGTGCGACACTGCATGCCATGGCATCTCTTCTACTTTTACCATGGCAATGAGAAGAAGAGTTGTGACCAATGCATGGTCGGAATGGTGAGTGGACAAGAATTTTCCAGAAGTCATGTCATCACTTTAAGGTGGCTGGTACAAATGAAAGCCTAGGAAATCTGTGGGAGAGGTGTGTTCACCAGTAGCAATAACTCGGGTTTGACAGGGACATACATGTACAGTATTACCTGCTTTGGGCACAAGACTTCTTTGGACAGTGTAGTGAGATCCTTGAGTGTCATATGACTGTGTCTGAACAATACCATTACACAGATCTACGAGAGCTTCCCTACACAGACATATGGATCACTCCTGCACCTCTGTAGTTACTTCTTTCTTAAGTGTTTGATTTCTTGCCACTAATGCCTTTGCAGAAGGCTCTGTGATTGGGGAGGGGTAGAGAGTCTGGAGAAAGACCACCCTTGTTTCCAATGGCAAGAATCCAAAAAAATTAGCTTAGGAAACTATTCTAAGATTGGGCTTGTTTCAGCCTCAACCAAAGATCTCCACACTTGGGCCACCCGCTGGGCCAGTGTAAGCGAACACAATTGCTAAAGCCTCCTACCTTGTCAAGCTTCTCCAAGGACAGCAAGCTATAATCTTAGCAAACAGAAAGCTGGTCCAAGTTTTGACTAAGCGAATCGCCAAGATCCACAACTTTTCCTGGCTTCTAAGGTCTGGACAGTGATAAATATTTTCAGCTTAATAACGTGCTGACTGATTACCACACTCTAAGTGCCTTAAGAGCATTTCACATTTGAATTCTACCTCTGAAACTCTACAGCGACAATACTGAAACTCTGAACCAAAACTACATCATTCATGTTCTATTTTTCCAGGACTATCAATTTGTCATTAATCTACTTTATAGCCTCTTCATTTCATATTTCTTGCCATAAATGCATCCATTTTAAGCTAATGTCATAGCAGATAAATGCCTGAGAATTCTTTTAAACACATATGTAATCACAATAAAAGAATGATTTTCTTAATACACATGTACTTCTCCAATATCCCTTCACAATCCATACATGATGCTACAGTCAACTGACTGGCTTATAATTAAAGGGTAATAACACAATTTCTTTATAAGACTTGTAAGTCTTATAAAGAAAACTTATTTCTAGAAAAAGGAGCCCAGATTATGCTATGCTCTTAAATAAGGGATGAGAAAAGCCTAATACCTTTTTGTGTATATATAATTTTTCTATAAATGTAATTATAACTTTTATAATTGAAGGGAACAATAAAGGTTTTCCATTCACTACCAAGATTGACGAAAACCTACAGATTTGAAGCATTTATTTTACATGTCAATAAACTTACAGGAAAACAGCAGTGATAAGGGTTATGAAATATACAGTACTGCCTGCACACTATTGTTTAAAAGTGGTACCATACCTTCACTGTGATGGACGGAACAGAGTCGGTTCCAACCTCAATGTTAGTGGCTTGCTGCAAACACAGAATTGAGAAAAGTTTTCCTACTGACTTCAACAGTAGTGGAACAGAGTTAATATATTGGGGGCAACAAGCATTTCCCACCATTACACAAAATACTCACTGAAGGGTTCATCACTCTGACAAGAGTCTAAGCATCTTTAGGATGTTTTAAAAATGTTCGTGTGGAAAAAATCATGAACAGTATTTAAAACCTACTCATCAAAAAGGAAAGAAGGGCGAGAAAACCTAGTAAACTTGAATGTTGAAAATATTAATGCTACTAACTAGTTCTTTATATGTACAAATCTCTTCTTGTAATTGCCATAGGAACATTATGCTATACCATTATGTGAAAAGCATGCTTTATTCAAGTTAATAATTTGTACCTAAGACATGTGACTAATGATATACTGAGTGACCTTACACCTGGAAACTAAACATGGAAATGCATTTTTCTTTAACTACTACATCTCATAAAAGAGTTCAGTCGGTAATCTATCAGCATTAGCTTTGGCTTGTCTGGTCCTACCACTTAAAGAACTTATAACCTACTAGAGTAAGGCAAATATTCCCTATAATGTTGTACAATATGAGGGGGGGAATTTTTCACTCTAGAATAAAGTAAAACCAAGAGGGAATATATTTCCTAATAATATGCATATAGACTCTTGTGGAACAACTAAGATTATAATGACTGTGCACGGTGAATAAATCAAATCCATTGTACATTTTATATGGATTTTTATGCAAACACACTAACTACTAAATAGAAATCATGATGATGTCATGGGCATCAGAAGAATTAAAAGCTGAGAAGTCAATATTCTACTTCCAGCTCCACAGGAAGTCACATTTGAACCCAGAAAAAGCTGATCCGTGAGGAAGATGAGACAATTGTGCTTGTCTCCCCTATAGAAGACCCTATTCCAATAGAAAATTTACTTCTGTTTCAGAGATTTGTGCTTTCAAAATAATGATTCAAAAAATTAATCCATGCTTTATGCTGTAATATTGTGTTACCTAAAGCCAGGAAATAACTTCACATTTGCTCACAGATCTAGAAAGAAAATTTACTGTTTCCTTTTCAACCCATGTCTAAACACCTAGACACTTCAAAGACAGTAGTATCTGGGGAACATAAAATTATAGCCAAAGAAATGACTGTAAGAAGACATCATTGCTCCATAGCCACATAAACTGTCAGGCTAATGTTTTCCAGTGGAGTAAGTATGATAGTCTAAAGAAAGTTCTTAAGGGAAAAATGCCAGCCAAGGCTACACAGAAAAACCCCATCTCAAAAAAGGACAAAATACAGTAAGACCAAGGAAATGAAGCAGTAAGTACAGAAAGACAGAGGAAATGAAACAGGAAGTAAGATGAGGAAATTAAGCCAGAAGTACAAGACAGGAAATAAAGCAGGAAGTACAGCAAGATGGAATATGAAGTAGGAAGTACAGTAAGATAGAAAAATGAAACAGGAAGTATAGTAAGACAGAGAAATGAAACAGGAAATATAATAAGGCAGAGAAACGAAGCAGGAAGTACAAGACAGAGAAGTGAAACGGTAAAGAGAACCAATGAAGGAAAAACAGCACTCGTTATTAATTAAGGAATATACATTACAATATATAGACTAAAATGTTCCTAAAGACAGAAATAATTTCTCACTCGAAATAGCCTATGTTTCAGAGAACCTAGAAACAATTCTATAAAGTGCCCAACATAGGAAAAGGAAGTAAGAAATGTGTGAACATCTGTCAGCTAACTAAGTCCCTACACACTACACCCTTCAGGTAGAGACAAAAATGGTGTCTGCTGAAGGGCAAACGTCTCACACAGAGCCTCTTCTGTGTGAGCAAGCTGAGCCAATGTTTCCTTCGTATTGTGTCCCTGCTGCTTTTAACTGCACCTAATGTACTATACCATAGCAACATTAAATGATTTTATCATAATTTGAGTTGGCTGGCTATACAAAAGTTAATCTTTCAAGGCTCTGACAACTACTTGCTATACTACGCTATGATACTTAAATAACAAACACATTTTCAAGGCAAAATTACATAATATCAACTCTAAATGCAGAAAATGTCCAAGTTGTCACTAAACTGATCAAGTTTGGACAGAGATACATATAAACTTAATGAATTCCATACAAACTTCAAGCAATGAGACATGATTATACACACACAAAAAAAGTGTTCTGTGAAAGAGTAAACAAGAATATGGAGGAATAGTCCTCTTTCAGCCTTCTTGTTTCTCCATTTTCATCAGTCACAGAGCAAATAGATATAGAGCACCCAATACACAGTGAGTGTCAAGGGTATAGCAGTACACAGGATGAGTAGTGGGATGTGGGAAGAGATGGTGGTGGTGATGTTGGAAAAAGAAAACTGTAATTGATGATGATGACAATGGTAATAATTCACAAAGCAGATTCCAGCAGAGGGAAAAATAATTTCTGGACCAACTTCCTGTGTATACTATACTGTTGCCCTCATTACTATCTGAGTATACTACACTGTTGCCCTCATTACTATCTGAGTACACTACACTGCTGCCCTCATTATTATCTGTGTATACTACACTCTTGCCCTCATGTGAAAGACTATAAATCATCAAACCTGGATAGGGACCACTCAAAAGCATTACTTCACTAAGCCTTTTTTTCCCAGAGTTACTTGTTTTTACTTTATGTGTGTGTGTGGTAGTGGGGATAGGGTGTTTTGTCTGTTTGTGTACACTGTTTGTGTGCCTGGTGCCCAAGGAGGACAGAAGAGGGCATCAGATTCCCCCTGCCCCCAACCCCTGAATAAAGTAATGATAGTAATGAGCTGCTACTTGGGGGGTGAGAAACAAACATGAATCTTCTGAAAAGGCATCCAGTGCTCCTAACCACTGAGCCATCTCTCCAGCCCTATCTCATTAACTTTCTAAAAGATGGGTGAAGACATGTTCAGTAATACAGTACTGACTGAGAAGGTTTAAGAATCTTTCTGCCCCCTCACCTCTCACTCCTTTTGTAAACAAATCCTGCCAAGATACTCTTTTCTGGCACTAAGAAAACAGAGATGGTTTTCATCTAGAACAGCGAGAGGTTCTTAATCTGTGGGGGTCAAATGACTCTTTTACAGGGTCACATATCAGATACCCTGCATATCAGATATTTATATTACAATTCATAACAGCAGCAGAATTACAGTTATGAAGTAGCAAAGAAATAATTTTATGGTAGGGGTTCACCACAACATGAGAAATTGTACTAAAGGGTCACAGCATTAGGAAGAGGGAGAAACACTGCTCTAGAAAGTAACAAAATCTGAAATGTGTTTTCACAGCATAAGTTCCTACCAAGAAGCCTAGAATTTAAATCAATTTGAGCACAATTCAGAAAACATAAATATACTTACAGACACAGAATCAAGGCTAGAGGAGACTACAGCAAAGACTTTCAAGTCTTCTTCTCTTTCGGTCATGGGCCAAACACCTGGGATTAAAAATACATCTAATCATAAAGTAAACTGTACTCTATACAGTTTATATCAAAAAACCAAATTGCAAACACTCATGAGTCAAAAATATAATGGATTACAGAATTAAAAGTTTATGCTAATTCTTTCCTCAATAACACTTTGAACAAAAACTGTCCTTCTCCAGTACTGCCTAAATACTGAGTCAATAATCACCCAGTACTGGGAATTGTAGTTTTTCCCTCCTTCATGAGAGCATAAGCAAATGAGTACACCCCATTGGAAGATAAGCTGGCTATGACTGTCATGATGCAAAATGTAAAGATTCTCTGACTTAACAATTCCACACCCAAGAACGTATCATGCACAGGCATGCCCAAGGAAGCTCTGTTATTAATAGTTGACAAAAGATAAAACAACTTAATTATCTATGTGTCTTCATAAGGAGATGATTAAATAAAATATGAAATATCCACATTATTCAATGGTCAAAGCCATAAGAATTTCATAAACCTGTGTAACTGACATGAATGAATTCAGATACACCTCTTAATATTTTAAACAATATTAATATTGTTAATATTTTAACAATCTAACATGAACATATCTGTGCAAAAGATGTACATAAGACTTAATATTTTTAAGAAATACTCAAAACTCAATAAGGCCTGTAGTCAAAGGCTGGAACTAGGTTCTAGGTTCAAAGAGATTTGTTTTCCCTGTTTATCCTTTTAGTAATGACTGAACTATTTTACCACATAGTATACCATATATATACATACAGATACCACATGCACATATACATACGCTAATATACATACATACATATGACATATACATACATATGCCACATACACATGTATATAAACACCTATACCACAGACACATACATATACTACATGCACATACATATACCACAAACACATATACTACATAAACATACGTATACCACAGACATATACATATGATTTAGCTGCAATTTGACTGAGTCCCTCAAAGTCACTCTTTGGAGCTTGGTCTCAGGTTCTTTAGTCCTAAAGAGTGGCAAGATCTTAAACATGAAGCCTGTCAGGAGGTCCTTCAGTTAGTGAAAGCACTGTCCTCAGAAGAAACTGATGCAGCATTCCTGTGACCCCAGTTAGTTCCAACAGAGGCTTGTTATGAACAGCAGATCTAGCCCTCACTTATTTCTGTGTGCCTAGCTTGTGATGCATTTTTTCCCTCACACATACTTCTGCCTCTACCAAGCCAATGTCTATGAAGTACTACTAAACAAAAGCCAGTCTTGGATTCATGCCCTTAAATCTCTCACTGTTGACTAAATAAAACTTGCCTTCATAAATACTGAGCTTCAAGCCTTTTGTTATAACAGAAAGTAGACTAACAAATGCATACTATTTCCCTAATTTTAAATGTTTATGTTGCACAAAGGACTATGAGAAAAAGCAAGTCATCCTAAATAAGAAACAATTTATATTTATATATATGAGTAAAATATGAATATATTTATGCATATTCACACACATATGTGCTTAAATAACATATTTTAAGTTTAAATACATATGTGCACAACAAGAACATACATATCAGATCATTGACTGAGAAGCCAACAGCCACTCTTCCCCCCTTCCTCTCTGTGACCAAGCACTGTATTTGTTGAAGTGTTCAACTTCATTGCAGAAAAAGGTTCCTCTCCTGGCTCCACGGAGGTTGTTCTAGGTGTCAACACAGCTCTTAATATTATCATCAATGGTACAGTGGCTGGGCAGTAGAGATATATGCCTTCAGGAAGGCTGTTTTTTCCCTAAAAGGGGGATTCTGACAAACAGTCCTCTTGTCTGGAAATCCTATCTGCACACAGCGTTTAGAACATCTACAGCTACCCAAGATCTCTAAAAGGGAAAGGTCCGCACGCATTGAGGATGGAAGGCTGAAAACACAGGGTCAATCCCGTTGACTCAGGTGTCACAGAAGGACTGTCCTAAATCATCACAAGGTGATTTCCTCACTACAGCAAAGCCTGGAAAGGAAATTCTAAATCTAGTAAGAATATAAACAGCTCTTAACTGGCTATTTGATAAGCATTCTTCACCTTCTTCACTAAAAGCAGCTCAATTTTGTCTAGCAGACCAGCCATCAACAAACCCCACTTAACTTTACGGCCTGTTGTGCAGATTGCAAGGGTCACTGAGATAAAAGCTGAAGCTGCTTAGGGTGTGGCTTCCAGGAAAGCTCCTGTAGGGGCTGACTCAACTGCAGATGTGAGGCAGAAGTTCCAGAAGCATTCCTGAACCAAGACATGATGCTGGACTAGAAGGATCAAAATCCCTGAGGAGTTGTGGAGCCAACCCTGAACTGCCTACTACTCGGCTTCTTTTACAAGAGAAACAAATGAGCCTCTCCTCTGTTTAAGCTGCTATGTTCTGGCATTCTGTTACATGAACCCACACACAAGCGGGAATGAACAAACCAAGTTCAACTGTTCCCAGACCGTGGAGATAGCATCAACTAAGCCAGCCCACACATATTTCAAATGGGATACAGACATATTTATTTTGCCCATGTCTGTTTGCACTCTGAAATCACACTGTTGGTACTTCTCTTAAATGCCATATCCAGGGCTTCATGGACACACTAGGTAAAGAGTGTGTGATCAAGTGCTTAAGTCATATGGAAATCCATCTCTTCAAAGTTCCCACTGAAAGGTATTGTTGACTCTTCCTAATGAAAATACTTGGCAGGAGTCATACTAGCACTCTGAATTTCAAAAGTGTCCCATATGCACAGAAATTATTGCTATAATTTCATGCTTGTATATATTCTTTATATAACTCACACACATAAAATTAGCTTCAAAATACAGAATACATATACACCATGTGTGCAACAAAATATCTTCTTTATATTGGCTTTAGATTTTCCTGCAACCCTTTCTTTGAAAAAGTTTTTAAAAGCTTTAAGTGTGGAATATAGCCCACAAAACAATGCACGTTTATTTTTTAAGTTAAAGGATGCTTTCATCATACCCCTCCCTCAGGGCTCAGGGAGTTAGACAGAAAAGAAAGCAGAAAGATCATAAGAGCCAGACAAGATGGACACCAAGGAAACAGTGCCTTCCAGACACAACATCACTGACACACATATGAACTCACAGAGACTGTGGTAGCATGCACGTGGCACTGCAGCAGCATGAAGACAGTCTGCCCAAGTTCAAGTCAGATGGAGTCCCAGGGCCAAGAGGGGGAAGTGGACACAAGCTCCCACACCTAACGAAGAAGCTATCTTCAACTGACATCTGCTTGCAAAGGAGACAGTTTTCTCCAATGGAGTCTCACAGGGTATGTAAACCACACTTAAGGGTAGGCCTCATGCCCAGTTGTAGATGGTCAATACAAAATGAACTCAATGGTATTTTTATAGAATTTCTATCTCATACTGCTTTGTTTGGGCATCTTTCATCTTACCGGTATTTTGCTTGTATATTATGGTTTCCAATTTTGTGTTTTTATGGGTTTTGGTGGGTTTTTTTGTTTTGTTTTTGGTGTGTGTATGTGTGTGTGTGTGTGATTCTTGTGTTTTGTCTTCCTTTGTGTTTTTATGGGTTTTGGTGGGTTTTTTTGTTTTGTTTTGTTTTTGGGGTGTGTGTGTGTGTGTGTGTGTGTGTGTGTGTGTGTGTGTGTGTGTGATTCTTGTGTTTTGTCTTCCTTTTGTTTCTTTTTTCATTTTGGCTTATTTGGGTTTTATATTTGCCTGTTTTTTTTTTTTTTTATTCTAAAGAAAGAGAAAGAAGACATGGAGCTGGATGGGCAGAGATGTCGAAGGAGATGGGAAGTAGAAACTGTGATCAAAATATATTGTACAAAATATTTTAATTTTTAAATATTTATTTAACAAATTATTTTTAAAAGCCACTGTACTGAAGTATCGTTAAAATGAACAATGAGGTCATCCAGAACTTCAGCATTTTGACTTTTCATGATCTATAATGAAATAATATGTCACTTCCTATACTTAAAAGTATTTAGATGAACAGGGATATCAAACTTTCACAAAGGAACAGAAGACTAAATATTCTTTATGTCTAGAAATAAAGTAGAGTAAAATCTTCTATGTCTTAAAAGTTTCTCTTTGTTTCTTTTTTAGTAATAAAACCAAACAACGGTAGCACAAAAGTACAAAGAAGTTCAAACATTAACCAAATGTTGAGGTTATGTAAAAAAAAAATCAACTTTCATCCCTAGCTTAAGTAATATAATCTAGAGTTAAGTGTAGTAACCATAAAATAAAAAGGCATCATGGCAGAGAGTGGGTAGCTCTAGAGAGAAGGAATAGAATGATATAGATACTATCAAGGGGAAATGCAAAAATGGAAGTGATGACTAAACTAGGAAGTTAGCAAGGTGGGCACTATGAGGGGGACAGTAAATAATACTAAGGATATTTGTAAGGAACCGCTATTGTTATATACTTACTTAAAAATAAATATATATCAAGTGTAAATGTGTTCATACATGTATACATAGTTTGAATGAAGTTATACCAATTGTGGTGATGATGTTGGCCACAAGGCCCACATACCATCTAGCAAAAATCCATGCCTGCCATGGAAACCTCTACTGAGGTGTGGGAGTTTAAGAGACTCTGAAGACAAAAAAACATCTATTACCATGGCCCTGGGGTGCCTCCCAGAACCTGAAAACAAGACACTACTTCTAAAGACACCACATACTTCAGACACAAGACTTGGAAGAATTGAGCTGGAAATGATCTGGAAGCCTCTTCCCTCAAGACTCATTCTTGTTATATCTTAAGGTGTTACTCAAGTTGCCAAGATAAACAAATAACCAATAGTCCTTCCCAGCACTAAAGTTTACATGATCAGCACAGCATAATGTCCCCAACAGTGCAATATGCCACTTATATCCAAGAGCAACATAAGTGGACTTAAGGTGCACTTAATAGGAGGCAATTGTGCCTGGTACTGTAAACCAGGCAACTCCCCATGGCTGCTGAGGTCATGGAGCTGAAGGGAGAACCAGGACTGCCACCTTGCTAAAATAGTGAAACTTCCAACTGTATCCAAAATCTTATCCCTAAATCCACAAATAAGTGTAACTTTCTCTCATCAAAGAAGCTTCCTTTTGCAGCAGACAGAGATCAGGCAGAAATCCACAACTGGAAAGCATGCAGAGCAAGAGTGTGAGCCCAATCCCAACTACTATGTCTACAAAACCATCCCTAAAGCTAAGGCTCAAGGAACATTGTGGAAAAGAAGGTTTCCACTGTCGGAAACAGAGGACTGAGATTCCTGTTGCTAGACAGTGTCTTCTATATATCACAGGAAAGCTGCACCTATAAGATAAGATCTAAACAATATGGTTGCCTAAACAAGATTGCACAATGATACTAACAGGTAACATGCCAACCTGGCTAGGAAAATCTCACAAGGCCTACCCCTAGATAAAACAGTCAATCAATGGCTGCTGAGACATCTGGGTCTTGTCCAGGAACAAGCCCTGAGATAGGTGATCTAATCCCAACAGGTTGGACCTAAACACAAATGCATATGAGCAAACTAAATGACCTTAACAGGCTAAATTTATGTGTGTGTGTGTGTGTGTGTGCACGCGTGTGCGTGTGCGTGTGTGTTAATAATACTTATAAATAAAGGAGAAGAGGTCATGGATTTGAAGAGTGAGAGAGCATGGGAGTAGCTGGAGTTTGAAAAGTAAGAGTATAAACTGATATAAATACGGTATTCATTATGAAATTCTCAAAAATAAATAATATATATGTAAAAGAAGCTATTTCAAGATATATAAAAGGATCAAGGAAATGACAAGCAAAACATCAAAATCTTTTCACTAAAGAGCATCACTATTACTACTAGGAGACAATAATTACCTGTAAGGGATTATTGAACAATTTACATAATTCATGTTAATTAAACTACTATTAGTCATTGCTTGTGGAAGGGGCAAATATCACAAGACAAAAACTTTAAATAAAACCCACATTATTTAATAAATTTGAGAAACTTCATGTTTCGTGTGTGTGTGTGTGTGTGTGTGTGTGTGTGTGTGTGTGTGCGTGCGTGCGTATACCTTCCCCAATTACATCCTAAAAGGACAAAGATTATAATTCCACTCATCCTCCAAAATACTGGCATCAAAACTAGAAACTTAAATCTGTATACTGCAGCCTGGTGCATTCATTTTCATCGCTTCCCATCTGACGAGGCAGTGCTGACAAGAGCCTTTAGAGATCTCCATTTCAATGGTTTACTTTGAAAACTTTCTATAAGAACGTGTGAAGCCAAAGCATAACATCTTTACTTTTAATATTCCTATTTTAATATATCATCTCAGTTCCTAAAAACCAGAAGAATATAATCCTGGCAATAGAGATCAAAAATATATAAACCTAGCGAAGTAAACGGGCCAGGATTAAGATTGGCTCTGTTGCTTTGGTTGGCTTTTGATGCTCCGTTTCTTTTATTATTCCTACTCGTTTTAACATTTCTTTTATGTGAAAATGGTCCATATTTTTTCTCATTAAGAAAATACTTTTACCTGACCCTGAAAAGGGAACTTAGAGTAATGATTTTCACATGTCCAACATGAGCTGCAGGATTGGTGTTTTGTTTCTCCTTTTAATTTACAATAAAATTACACCCTTGTGAGTCCCAACATAAAATAACATTGAGTTACTCAAAACTTGAGAACTGAAAATATCACCAGTCCCTTCGTCATTAGAAATCAGAGTATCACAGGCTACACTCCATTTGGATGGCTAATTAACTCCAAACATCAATTATATCATCTAAGCTGCAAATTACTACATTTTTAGTAACAAAGTGGCAATTCATATACTACTTGGATTTCTTTTCAAAGAAGCAAGTGAAACCAAGGATGTTGTAAGTTAATGACTGACTGAGATTCAGGGCTCTTCTCACAGCCTAAAACCACTGAGAGGTACTTGACCTTCACTGGGAAGGCAACATACTCAAAGTCTAGGTGGAGCTGTCCCTGGAACACATTAACCAAAATATTATCTTCAATAAGACTAGTTCTCAGCAGCCACCTATATATACAGAGTCAACACAGGGACCTTGTATGTTAAAGAACAATGCTTTATTCAAAGTCTTGAACTAAGCCTAGGAGTGAGATTTAACTAATATTTACAAAACAATAGCACATACAACATAAGGTGAATTTTATAATTAACATTAAAAATTTATAATAAAAACTGCAAATTTGATACCTTGAGATTTTACATCTTTGATGATTCTCTGCAGTTCTTTCAACTCTACATCAAGTTCATCATAGTTGAGCTCTCTTGATTCAACTTTTGGAGCTTGGAACAGAGAAGGGTCTGTCCCAAGATATGAACACTGCAGGTGACCATCATCACTGAGAGTCACTATCACACCCTTCAAATCACTATAAGGTACAAGAAAATACAAGACACAGTTAAATGATCAGCCTTGACAGGTGACATTTTTACTCATTTCAGCTTTATATATCATTAAAGAAATAAATATAAAAATAAGATTTATTTCAAAGACCCAATGTTAATGTTTCAAACTTATCTATATTTACAGATGTACGCCCACTGTTAAGATGTATTACAGAAGTTGAATAAACATTAAAATGTATTACATTTGCTACCAAAGGTATCTAATTACATGGCAAATTCTGATCCTGAATACTGATCTTAATCCACAGTACAGATGCCACTTGTCATTGCCACATCCTGCATGTGAATCCCACCTGCAACAATGGAGTAAGAAAGGAGACTAGACTTCTAGCTGGAGATAAGGAACAAGTCTAGGACAGTCAAGAAGTAACCCAAGGCCAGGACAGCCATGAAGTGACCTCAAGGCTGGGACAGCCACACCAAAGACATTGGAGAACTGCTAAGAAGTCTTGAAGATAGGTATGTTCTCTCTTCCTTTCTTTCCTCTCTGGATTCATGGGACTAATTCTTTCCACATGGGACCTCTCAAGGCTTCCTTAACACGCTCCTATGCAAGGAGCTCTATGACTTGGTCTTTTCTTCTCTCCCCATTCCTAGACAGAAAAGGCCACTGTCCTGTGCACTAGCTCTTGCTCCATCACTATTCTTATTCATATAATTCCTTTTCCTCGCTGTCTACTACCATTTGAATGCATCCCTCAGATAGGGGACCTCAGAGGAGTCATTAGTTCATGAGTGCTTACCCTCACAGATTAAGACTAATTATGAAAGATCTGAGAGAAAAGGAGTATCACTGTCAATCTCTCCCTCCCTCCACCTTCCCTCTCTTCCTGCACATCCTGAAATGTCACCCTGAGATACTGAAGCAAGAAGGTCTTCACCAGGTATATATCCTCAATCTTGGACTCCTGAGCCTCCACAAGCATAAGTCAAAACTTTTCCTTCCTTTCTAAGTCACCCAGTCTCTGGAATTCTGTAATAGCAGTAAAGAATAGATAAAGACAAGGGTTTTAACTCTTTTTTCCTAAGGCCCCTTTATCTCTGTTCTCTCTGAAATTTCCATGTCATACATAGCTTCATATATACATTATGGCTGATTTTAATATGCAATGTGTAGAAATTAAATTTGCACATTTCTCTCAACATACTATAAAAAGCAGCTGAAGGAAATACTGTATTTTCTTGTTCCTTGGTAGTCATAGAAAAAAATCAATGTTGTCCTAAACCATTTGGCATTAATATATGAGTTCTTTTGGTTTTTGTTATATGTCCTACACTGGCCTTTGATTAATAACAATATTTTGCCTTTTTATTGTTTTAAATGTCCATATACATATTGCTGTATGTGGGGCATATGTCCCCTGAACCATCTGCTAGCTAGCTCCATGTGCCCTGTCCTGTTAGTTCCCATTTGTCCCCCTAGATAATTTAACTCCCACTTTCATGTCATATATACATACCAGATTTTATGTATCTACATTAATCTAGAAATGATAAATGAGAAGAAAACACAAATTTGCCTTTGGAGACAATGAATTAGCTTAATATGATTTATCTTGTTCTTGCATCAGTTTTCCTGCAAATGACATGACTTCATTCTTGTTGGCTGGAAAAAGTTCTATTGCACACATACTGCCATATTGGCCTTTACATTCTGTCTGTTGTTGAACATTTACATAAGTTCCAAAACTTAGCTGTTGTAAATAGTGCTGTAATGAACAATGGTGCAAGCGTCTCTGAAGTGTATTGACGTGGAATCCTTTGGATAAGTTCGATTCACACAGTAAATCTAACTTTAGTTTACTGAGAAGCTGCCAAATCCATATCCATAGTAGTAAACTATTTTACCTTCTTACCAGGAGCACATAGGATTCCTTGCTGTCTACACACTTAACAGCATTTGTTATGTTTTCTTAATAACTAGCATTCTGACTAGAGTAAGATGGAATCTAAGTAATTTTGATTTGTATTCTGTGATAGCTAATGAAGTTGAAATGTTTATTGAACATTTGTATTTCGTCTTTTGAGATCCATCAGTTCATTTCATTAGCCGTTTTATTGGTGTGATTGTTTAGTTTCTCTTTGTTTTGTTTCAGATCTTTGTATTTAACCTGTCAGACATATAGCTAGTAAAGATTTTCTCCCATTATGTAAGTTAGCTCTTTGTTCAATTGTTTTCTTTGACATACAGAAACTTTTTAATTTCATAAAATTCCATGTGTCCCATGTTGGCCTTATTCCTAAACATCTAGAGTCCTACCAAGAAAGTCCTTGCCTGTTCCTCTATCTTGAACTGTTTTTCCTACTTTTATCCCAGTGGTTAGAGAATTTCTGGTCTTCTGTTAATATATTTGATTCATCGGGAGTTGAGTTTTACACAGTGTGAGTTTTACACAGTGTGAGATATAGGGATCTATTTTTATTCTACACCTGGTTATCCAATTTTCTCAATGACATGTTTGAAGAGGAATGCTTTTCTCCACTGGGTATTTATACCGTCTCTGTCAAAACCCAAATGGTTATAGCTGTGTGGGTTTATATCAGGATCTCTGTTCCATTCTGTTGATCTATATTTGTGCCAATACCAAGCTATTTTGAGTATTATTATTCTATGTTTATGAGTGTTTTGCCTGCATGTATGTCTCTGTACCATGTGCATGCCTGGTGCCTTTGGAGATCAGAAGAAGGAACTGGCTCCCCTGGACCTGGGGTTAGATGGTTTTGTGCCATCACATGGGTGCTAGGAACCAAACCCAGGTCTTCTGGAAAAACAACCAGTGCTCTTAATCACTAAGTCATCTCTGCAGTTCACCATGCAATTTTGGTACTATCCGGCGCTATTTTTTCTTACTTTTTAAATTTTTCTTAAGAATTTCATATATTAGTCCTATATTTACATCATTTCTACCCCTCCATCACCCACTGTAACTCTTCCCATGACCCCCCACTTCCTCTCAACTTCATGAGATCTTAAATTATTACTGTTTTAGACACACACACACATAAAAAAAAAACTCTTGAGTACTTTTAGTGTTACTTGTCTGTATATATGTTTAGGACTAACCTCTTTGGGTTGGATAACTTATCAGAGAGCTTGTCCCTTTAAGAGACTGATTCTCTCTCTTTTAGCAACCATGGGTCCCCTGTAGCTCTTCATGTAGGAATGTGGCCTTGTGATACTTCCCCATCTATACTGGTGCATCAACTGGTGTTTCCATTATATAGGTCTTCTTTAGGCACTCTCCTTGTTAGGATTTCAGGGATACAGCCTCCCTGTTGTGTCTACAAGACACTAACAGTATCCTGGTCTTCTGGCTCTTACAATATTTCCATCCCTTATTCCACAATTATCCCTGAGCCTCACATGCTGGGGTTGCATTGTAGATGTATCCACTGATTGTCCCTATTCATAATTAATAGTTCTTAGAACTATTAATCTGTGGCGGAAAGAGAAGGGGGAAGGGGAGGGAGGGAGGGAGAGAAAGGGAGAGGGAGAGACAGAGATCTACTAAACCCAGAAGAAACTTTAAATCTCTCCAATTCTGTATCATTGCAAACAGTCATGTTATTAACATAAAAGCTCAACTGGGTTGAGAATAAATTATCCCACTGCTCAGTCTTTCCTATAAAATGACCCCCAGCAACCACTTCACTATCTACCTACTATAAACACAATATTTCAGCACTCAAAAAGCTGAGGCAAGAGAAACTTGAATTCCCAACCAAGCTGGTCTATACAGTAAAGACTGTTTCACAAAGACAAAAGCAACCAACATAATCAACAACATTCCTATACGCTATAAACGCTGTACCTTTTCTGGGGCCCATATACAGTAAGTGCCACAGACCCTGTGACATGCCTGCATAGAAGTAGGAGCTACGCTGGTGTCACTGGAAGGCAGAGCTAACTGAGAAGAGGAGGGACTGGGTTCTAATACTGACTGCTGCTTTAGAGCTAGTTCAGCCCGGAGAGGTCCTCCCAACATTCCTCATCTCTAAACCAAGATGGTGAGAGATGATAACCCCCAAACACCAATTGCAAGAACTGCCTCTTTCATCTCCCACACAAAGTCAAGACTCCTAAAATGAAATTAGTCTCCTGAAATGAAATGTGAAAACAGCCCACAGTGCCTATGGAGCTGTGATTTTCATTGCAGGCAACTGAAGCCCCCTAGTGGTCGACAGAATCCTTAAAAAAAAAAAAAAATCCAGAGGGAGAAGCATCACTCTGCTCCAAGCTGTGACTTCTGTTCTCCTTTACTCCCAGCACCTTAAGGACCAGAAAGCTGAGTCCTCAATAGGCCAGTCTTTGGCTGGCTTCCCAAGACAAGGCGGAAAGCATCCTTTTCTGAATGCAAACAGACACGCCCAGCTCACTCCTAACCTCCCTATAAAACAGGAGAGCTGGCATGGCCCGAGAAAAGCATTCCTCCTCATTCAACCATATTACTTGCTAAATTAGATGGTTTAATGTTTCTCTCAAATTCCAGTACTGGGAATTTATGTACTGAAATTCAGCAAATTTCAAAAAAAAAAAAAGAAGTGTTGATTTATAGGAAAAAAAGTCAGTTTGTGCCAGTGTTTAAATAGCAGGCAGATGCCAATTTAGATATAAGAGAATTATTTAGAAAACTACTGAGCTTCTGAGTTAGAAAATGAAGGATATGTGTATTTCTTTAGGCTCTCAAAATCCGACCTTTACCTATGGTTAGTGTCCAAACAGAAGAGAGAAGAGCTTGATCTTGTCTCTCAGAAATACATAACCTACATACCAGCATGATCTAAAGAAATCCAGTAGCTGTTTGAGTGACTTATCTTTAATTTAATCACATCAGAAACACTGGATACAATTTAGATTAAATAAGAGAAATTTAAGCTATGGATAAATTCATTTTATCATTACTTTTTTATTTCAAAAAGATGCTAAGACAGGCTTTAAAACTCTAGTGTTCATCAATAAAAT